AAATGCAAAATATAAGTAAGTACCACCTGATAAAACCCCTAGAAACAGCAGCCCAGCACAGAGCATTGCTCTCACACTGGAATAAGGAAAAGCAGTGGGAAAAGCTTTTTTAAGTCTGCAGTGAGGAAACCCCCTGGCAACACCTCCAATGTGAAATCAACTTCTTCTCCTTGGCTGCCATGTCAGAAACCACATGTATACAAGCATATGCATGTACACAGGTAGATATGAGAAAAGAAAGGCAAATAATTTTCATTTCTGCATTTTCCTGAACACCTGCAGGCACGACCTTCACACCATGTCATGACTGGAAAGATTTGGTCTGCCACCTAAACCAAACCCCAAAATACTCTGAGAACTGTGTGTGCTTTAAAAACCATTGGGAAAACTATTGGGAGAATCTGCTGATAGATAGAAGTGCCTTTACTGGTTTCTAGAAAATTTAGCAGTTTAGCCCCTCTTTCTTCCCCAGAATTTTAAACAAGTTCAGACAAGGGGTAGAAAGCCATGGAAAAAAAGAGGTGTTGGTAGTTCCTTATGTAAACAAATAATTTTATTAAGTGAGTTGGAATGAAGCAGCTGCTCAGCATTTGCTCTGTATCATCCCCACTTGAAAAGTGCTGAGATTTGGCTCCATAGACAGACTTGGAAAAAAAACAAAAGGCAAAGAGTGAGAGGGAGAAGGTTGTGGGGTACTGGAGTGGAGATGTGCAGGCATTCCTTGGTGCTGCAGTGTTTAATTACAGCATCTGCACCTGTACAGGGCGAGTTTCATCTCATTTAATTTAATTTCATCTAATTTCATTTAATCTCATTTCAATTCTCCTAATGTCACATCTCAATATTTGTTTCTTTCACACGCTACAGAAGTGAAGAACAAGAACTCAGGAAATTTGTACTTCAGGAGAATATGAAAATGTTATTTGTGTATGAGGCAAGCAAAGCAAAAAGCATTAAATCAGATCCCATAATTACCTCTAGGACATGAGAACTGCTACAACTTTTATCCTGAAGAAATCACCGTGGTCTGCACTTCCCATGAGGGTGAGAGACAATCACAGCCTCAAACTATTCAGGATGTTTAGAATTTAGTCCAAAATCTCTCAGTCTCAAGAATGACCACGTTTATGTGTCTCTGCAGCCACAAAGGTGTTATCCCTGTCCCTGGGAGTGTCCAGGCCAGGCTGGAGCAGTGGGACAGTGGAAGTGTCCCTGCCATGGCAGGGTGGGGATGGGATGGCTTTTAAGGTCCCTTCCAACCCAAACCGTTCTGGGATTCACTCATGACACCAGAATGCAAGTGTCAAAACCAAACCACCTCAAAACTGAACTGGTGTTGTTGTAATCTTCAATCAAATGGGGAATATTTCCCTACAGTAAGTAGATATTTCGCACAGCAAATTAAAAGTATTGAACAATCTGCTACCAAAATATTAGCAGAGGCAAAATAAATATATTGAATGAATAAACATCCAAACTCCAGAGAACAAGACACAAGAGATGATGCTGAGAGCTGTTTAACAATATTGTATAAAGTCAGCAAGACCTTTTCTTTCTCTTCCATGCAATTTCTTCAGCAGTAAATGGATACAGATTTTTTTCCTCATTTATTTTCTGTTTCATTCTACTCAGTTTGTACTGTGACAAATTATATACCTCTATTTCCTATTCCTCTTCTCACTGAGAGATAAGAACAGCAGAGATTCAGCCTATTTGCAACCCACTCCCATGACACATTTTCTGCAACCAAACCACAGGGATTAGAGAAACAACCTTTCCCCCCAAGTAATTACAGAGAAGCTTTTCAAGAAAACTTTGTTCTTATAGAAATGCCATTTAAAGGACATTCTAGAAAAGCCCTTGCAGCACTTCTCAAAGTGACTTGTGCTATTAAGCAATGCCTATGACATGCACTGCAGAAGTAAATATAATTTTTATATCTACAAGTCACCACCATGAGTGTTGGAGCAATTCTTTTGCAAAAGGTTTGCTTTTGACAGATATTTCTACCACGAACTTCAGAAGAAGGAAAAAACCTTCTGCAAACTACATAAACCCCTATTCTGTATTGAAACTGTGGCAATACATTTTTTTTTTTATTTTTGAAGTGAAAGATACTTTCAGAAATGTGGATTTTACTATTCCACACAATGCCTCAAATCACTTTCATTCTGCATCGGTGTGGATACGTTTGAAATAGCAGCAGCACTGTTTGCTGTCACAGCACTGGAAAAATAATGATAATAATAACAAAAATCCCCTAAAATGCCTGCCACTTCCCTTTCTATGTGCTTGCAGCTCAGCAGCTACTCAAGATACAATCCTGTGGCCATTTCAGAATCAAAGTGCATTCAGATCAAAGTAGTTTATGAGAAAGCACTGATGCACCTACTGGGTTCTGTTACAATTCCACAAGGCATCATTTCTATGGAAGATGCTGAACTGTATTTTCATCCATTTCATGCAAGGTGAGGTTGTTTTCTAAAGATTTATTGGGTCTGCCTAAGCTTGGAGTTAGTTAATTTCATTCTGCAAGTAGTTAAAGAAATTCAGCAAAATGAAGCATTTTTACATAAGATATTGTATCTTATAGACTCATATGAATAGGAAGGGATTGCTAAAAAGACTAATTTTTGCAGCAATGAAAAAAAGCCACAAGGAATCCATCCATTTCTGCCACAATAAATATTACTGCTCCTTATCTATTACCTACTTGTGCATCATATAAAAGGACATATACGAAAAAATCTGAATATTGTCAAGACACACTGGTGCCAAATAAATGGCTTGAATTGCAGAAAGCCCTGCAGGACTGGCAGCTCCTCTGTCCTGTTCCATTCCTGTCACAAATGCAGAGGTCAGACCCAGAGCTGAAATCCCAACAAGGAGAATGTGAGCTGGGCTGAACCAGGGCACTGCATTTCTGCAAATATCATCTTTTTAGGATCCTAAATCCATCCTCATGGATCTGCCAACTTCTGTCTCCAGCCAGACAAAAGCACACTTAAAAGCTAATTTTTATTTCTATTCAATTACTTATTAGCATTACTAATTCCATTATTAATCTTAAAATTAGACACAAACCCCTGCTATAAAACAATCAAAAGAGCAGTAATATAGAGTGTTATTAGAGTAAACTATTTCCACAATTAAACATTTTCCATGTCAATTGGGAGTGGTATATTTGGTTTCATAATAGAAATTTCTACCTTATTTTCAACACCTTGAATCAAAAAAATTAAATTAAAAGAAAAAAAATATGAGAAACAAAGTGCCATATGACATGGAAGCAACTCTGGGGAATGAATATTCTCATGTAGAGGGGACCCACAAGAGTAGAAGCAACCTGTACAGGAGACACTTTGAAAACCATATAGGAACATATAGGTATATACATACAGACTCATATTAACCACTTGCTGTGGGGGAAACAGCAGATGATTTCAGCCTGTTGAACAGCCCCCAGGGCTCCTCAATCCCAGGAGCTGATCCCAGTTTTGGCCACAGGATTGACCCACAGAAGTACAAGGCTGGGACTGAGCTCTGCCAACATTGTTTTAATTCATGGCCCTTGGAGCATCACTTTGGGCTCTTAAAACTTGAGTCTTTCAAATCCTCAGCCCAATCACAGCTACACCTAAGCTTAAATACAGCCAAGGAATCACTGAAATAACTGAGGATGTCCTCAGCTCCAGTAAGAGCTCCTCAGGTTCCAAATCCCCAGCATTTCCCAGATCCTGCCTGGAGAGAATTTCCATTGCACCCACGTGGTGATCAACCCTGGCCTGCAAAGCCAGACTGGTTTTATTAACATAAGTAAGTGCAAACTGACACATTATTTGAAAGATGTGGAAGAAAATTAATGCAACTTCATTATCAACAAATCAGATGGTAAAATACTAAAAGATTAAGTGCAGTTGATAACAGTTCAACTCCCCAAAATTATAAATAATAGCCAGTGTAAAGAATTTAAAGATTAAAAGCTGGAGTTTTTATTAATGTCTGCAGTGATTTAAGATAGTCTCTATTTATGCCAAATACCTCAGAGATTATAGAAATAAAGAAATACAGACTTCAGCCCTGTCACTTTTATGGAACAAAAGTATCTTTACTTGCCTCTCCCAGCCTAGATAAGGTACATTGTGATATTAAACTGAATACTTTTAGCAAATAACTTCTGGCTTGTTTCAGAATAATCTGTTTCCCCTAGAAATTACTTCCACAGCTTTGACTTTTAACTGGATTAACACATGGAAAGAATAATTTACATAATCAAAAATAGAAGGAGCATAGCAAGAGTTGATCTTGTCCTAAGTGCAACTGCTGTACATAAACGACTCCCTTGCTCAGAAAACATCAGACTTGGTGCAGCCTGATTAGCTGTTCATGGACAAAGTCCAGCAAAAAAACCTGGTCCAAGTCAGTTAATGAAAACAAGTTAGCATTTCTCCCACAAGAAGAACAAGTACTCCCACAAAGAAATGTAACATTGAGAAAAAAATCTGCATTAGACTTGTAATTTCTGGATATTAAACATAAAATATAAAATCAGAAGCATCATCTACTAAATTAAAATATATTTTAAGTAAATACATCTTTCAAATTTATTCCATTTTCTAGAAGAGCCCAAAGCAGCAAGTCTTTAGTTTTGATTACTTGCTTCCTATGAATAAACTCTGAATTGAACCTGGGCCCATTTATTTGAGAGGGCAGCATCAGCTGACATCATTAACTCTTACTTATTTTAATTAATTCTCATTAATTCTATTTTATTCCCACCCGTTAAAAGTCAAAAAATTTTGGTGAGTTGGATCTTATTTTAGTTTTTTTTCATTTTTCTGGTTGATTAGAACCCTGAAGGTGCAGCTTTAAAACTGGAAAGAAAACTATAGGAGGGCAGTTAGATGAGATAAAGCATAAGTTTATTTAATAAATAAACATTAATAAATAAAGATTTAAAAATACCAATGATGGTTCAAAATTATTCCATATTCACTTACTTCAGAGCCTGTTCCAGGTGGCGAATTTTCTTTTGAGCATCTGCTTTTTCTTTATCCAGATCACTCCGAATGCCATTAATCTGACATTTAAAGAAAAAACACCATATATTTTAGCCAAAACAGTGTCTGATTTAAAATAAATCAATAATATTTTAAATTCTAAAAACTATTTCTTTGCATATTCCTTTTCCACTGATGCAACCATCCATGGATTTCTAAAATTATGAGAAATGCAAAAGCAGATATTAGCAGAGAGATGAAGTATGAGAATGTAGCCAATGAGCTATTTTCCTTCTCAAAGTGAATTATATCTGTCTAGAATAAAGAAATATCAGTAATTTAATAAAAAGGAACTAGGTTTTCTTTCTGTAAGTACAGAAAAGGAGACAGGAAACTGCCTAAAATAGTGACCCATATTCTCTAGGGTGCAGAGCTCCTACTCCCAAATTTGTCACCACCCAAACAAATGACTTGTGATCAATTCTTACAATAAAAAATATCAAACATAAATACCTCACATAAACATCCTGAAGAAGAATAATAATAGAATAATTAGCAATAATAATCCTAAAAATAGTACAGAAACCCTTGAATTTGGCAGCTTCCCAGGTGTGGTCCAAACCACAAGTTTTTGTAATGTTTTCTGCCAAGGGCAGGTTAAATCCAAGTGTTTATACATAATCCAAGAGTTGTATTGCTTTAGAATTGCTCAAGGAACAACGTTGGGATGGGACATACAGGAAATCCTTCATCCACCTACAGTCATTTGTAATGTTCCAGGCTGTTAAGACACTACAATGAAGAAAAATAAGTTTTACGAAGTGTGTAGGCCAGTGAAAAAACAAATTCAGGGATTCTCTGCTGGGAGCAGTTCCATGGAGGTGTTCACTCCAGGAACACTTAGTTGGCTTCCAAGAGCCTCCAAATCCATGAGCTGTCTATTAGAGAATGAAGAAGCTGCTGCCAAACCTGGTAAAATTCTATATATTCAACAGGTGGCTTGGGAATGGCTGTCAGGAATAATCTGTCACTCTTCTGATGCTGAGCTGAATGTTTGGAAAACAAGCAGTTGATTATTTATAAAAAGCAGGTGTTTCCTTGGCTTGTAAAGCCATTTAGCCTAACTGGTTCCTGATCCAGCAGATAAGCACATTTAATCAAACAGTGACATTTAAGGTTCCTACCTATGATTTGTTTGATGTTTAAGTATCCTCAGAGGCAACAGCCACTGCAGAGTCATAAAGATTATTAGATAATGGGTAGGTTTTCAAATGAACAGATTGCAGCAGAGACTTCACGATTCCTTTACTTGTTTTAGTATTTTATGGGCCAATCCATCCTGGTTTATGGATTTATACCCACAGATTATTCACTGGTATTTTTCTTCTCATCCTGTCTCAAAGATTTGAGTTTGAAAACAGTTACACCACAATTTATGAACAAACTGCTGTCAAGTTATCTATAAAAAGAAAGGCTCTGCTTCCTTGTTTGCTGATGCAGAATTCCAGCTTCCCTCCCTGGGCTCACTGGTTGGAGGCTCTGCTGACACACCTTCACCCCATGCTTAGAAGCTTTCTCCCAAAAGATCCCCAAACCTCAGTCAAATTGTGCCAATATATTTATTTTGGCCTGCAAATCAATCCAGTCCTGGATTTTTCTTGAGTTCAACATAAAACCCATGACTTAGGTAAAAAGACAAATGTAGGCTAGGTTTAAACCAAGGCAGATCCTGGAACAAAGAATGTTTTGACTTCAAGTCAGCAGAAGGAACTAACTCAAACCAAAACCTCTCTACAATTCATGTCACAAGTGCTATTACCAAGTGACAAGTAGCTGGGATCACAATCCATTATTTTATGCTATAAATTTGCCACATTTGGCAATGACATGTTTGAGTAACACATCCTTTCAATTAAACAGGCATCTAAGGCACCCTCTGGCTGCACATGAGTTGCACATATAATGTCACTAAAATTGAAGTTTAATTTGAAGCCTATTGATGTTCCGAGTCTAAAAGAGCAGGCAGGATTTGCAAAGTGCTTTAAGATGAAGTGTTTCTGATGAAAATTACATTTTTTACTTCAAGCTTCTGATGTAAAAACTATGCCTGTTGACAATATCTAGAGAACACATGGAGAAGGATGGAGTAGAGATTCTCTGGGGGAAAAGGAGTATGGGAGAACACATGAGCACTGGCAGAGGTCAGGCCAGGTTTCATCCAGTTCATTTTCCTTTCAGTAACAGCAGTTGCCACCATGAGCAGTGTACACACACAAGACAGGCTTCCAGGGCCACTTTTTTGGGAATGCCATCCCAGCCTCCATCCCCTGGCAACAAGTTCCTAAAATCTGAGGTGATATCCCTGTCCTTAAAAAGCTTAAAATCTTACTTGATTTTGTCCAATTATTTTTCCAAACCTTGTGAAGTGCTTGGATTCCCAAATGTACTATTTGGGGGTTTCAAAATTTAAACCTTTAAGTCCTGTACAGAACAAAATCATGCAGAAGATGGGAGATTTTCCTGGAAATATTACCTGTTTCTCATACACTTGCTGCAAGTGAAGCTTGCCCTGCTGAACCTTGTATTCTTGATCCTGCAGAGGAAAAGATGTGTATTCTAAATCAACAAATCCCATTTTTCTTCCATTTCAGACCATTCATCAAACACAGACATATTAGCTATCATACAGAACAGGCCATAACAAAATCAAAACCCACTTTATATCATCATGAAAAAATTCTCTGACATAGAAGAGAATTTAACCAACACCAAATAACACAACTATCTCCAAAGTCATGATTCATGTTTGCTAAAGGGAAACAGCAACTTCTTCTCCTGAGCTATTAAAATGCCATTCTGTACTATATCAACTGTGAAATGAAAGACATTGGAAGAAAAGTAGATGCCAAAATTCAGCCAGGACTGATACATGATACAGATGTGGAACTCATTACCCTGAGACAGAAGGATTAATTTAAATGCCTAAAGGAAGACAGAATATTGAACTGAACTATTAAAGAGTGCAAATTAAAAACAATTTTGAAACTTTAAAAATGTTTACAGTTTACGAGAAAAAAAGATATATTCATCATCCTTTGACAGGCTTCTTTGTAATCCACCAATAGAGATTTCAACTCTTTTATTTAACATGTGAACTACAAGAAACAGTCAGAAAACTTCTGTGAAAATTCTGCTCTCACCTCTCATTTAGCCACAGTTTTTAAATCAACCTTTAACCATATGTGACATTTCATATATTTCCATTCATAAAACAGAAACAAGCCAGCATGGTATACAGAAGTACATTTAAGGATGGATATCTAAACATTTAAATCATTAAATAAAGTAAAAAGAGTTGGTCATTTCTGAGAAAGAAAGTCAGGGCTCACCCTCAGCTGTTGCTTCCTTTGATGTTCAGAGTCTTGCAATTGTTGTTGCAGCAGAGCCATTTCACGGCGTAATTCTGCAATCACTTCACATTTCTGCTGGATTTAACAGAAAAAGCAGCTTTTGTCTTGGACTCCTCATTAGCTCTTTTGTATTTTTGAATTTATTTTTCTAAAGTTTCCAGAAACTGGAAAAATTATCAACTTGGGAGAAAAAAATCTGTATGAGTTTACACCTCTGGAGACATCAGTTTGGGCCCTCTGGTGAACTTGGAAACAAAAGCACAATAAAACACCCTAATAATAAAAAATCCCTACTAAAATCTACTAAAAATTGGTAGAAAGAAAAATACCTTGTAAATGAAATGCAGCGAAGTATCATCAAAGCTCAGAGAATTTCAGCAAATAAACACCAAACACCCCACTTGCCCTATGGCTTTATGGATTAATAAATGGCATTTAAAACTCAAGTCTTTTCTGCAATTATTTAACTTTAAAATCACTTTAAATATGTACCATCACTGTATCTATGCATATTGGTAGATATCAACCTGACAGATGTTTTTCCAAAAACAAACCAGAGTTATTACATTTTGGGTGAAACCTACACATGCAAAATATAAAATTATTTCCTTAAACACATAAATATTTAACACAATGTTCAATACTAGGAGGCCTGCAGGACTATTTTTTCTGGAATTTTTTTTTTCTGACATGGAAGAGGCTTTATGAAAACATTAAGCCTTCAAGGGTGTATCCAGAATTTTTACAGAAGCACGAACAAAATCAGGATGTTAATTGCACCTTATCCGAATCAGCTGTAGAAATAGACACACAAAACAGAATGACCAACCAACTTCAGATGATTTTTCAGTCAAATTTGGGAATGAAAAATTAAATCCCAATTTTATTTAAATTTACACTTATGACTAACTTGGGGAACTGAGCAATTCCTTGGATTTATTCATAAGCATCATATTGATGGTGAGGAGAGCACTTAAATAAACCCCATTTTCCTGGCTGTTCCACCTGGCAGCATACCTGAGCTTGTTCCTGCTTCAGAAAATCTCTATCAACATCAAATTTACTTTGTTGTTGCTGAAGGTTCTCCTTGTATTCCTGCATAATCTGGTCCTTGTCTTTCTGAAGTAACTTGTACCTACACGGAACAAGCAAACAGAATATGGAAATTGCTTTCAAATTTTGGCATTTTACCTGCTCAGTATCAATTGCACAGAGTCTGCACGTCTGCCACATGCTCTTGTCACAGAATGAGCTGCTCATAAATAATGGAATGGTAAGACACTCCTCAAGGTGGCCGTTTGGGTCACTCTAAATGAGTTTGACACCAATTAACATATTTTCATGAGAGTTTTCTAATGTCAAATGCCATTCAGTGTGTTCCTGGAACAAAATTAATAATGTTTGCTTCAGGAAATTCTATATTCTTAAAAGTTTAACTACTAATTGTTATTGAATTACCTTTCTTTCAGCTCCTGAAGTTGGGAGCAGACCTCCTGGTAGCGCTGTTCCACCTCATTCTTCTCCTGAGATAATTTCTGACGTTGTAAATTACTATTTTCAGCCTCAACAGTCAACTGCTGCACACGGGCCCCCAGCTTTTGGACTGTCTCGTTCTAAAGAATAGAGAATTATTGAGAAAAGCCCAGAATCAATGAGGGAATACCCCAGTTATTCAGTAGCCTTAAGCAACAAGGTTCTCTGGCAATGCAGAGGCACAAGAGTTACAATGGCAAAGCTGTCAATCATGACAGTAAATTCTATCTTGTATATAAAAATAATGTATCTTCAAAATGCAGGTGTTTATTCCCCCTCAAAGTGACATCTCTTCTCCCTCACACAGAACAGCGTATGCAGCTGATTTCTGAATTACAAATCCTTTATAATGGGAGAGAAAACCATATTTCAGTGTAAAACCCCAATGGATAATAATATATATAAAGCATTTTTAGACTTTCCAGAAATCTCATTGCAGTAACTTTCAGTAAATTACAAGACCTCTCAAAAGTTGTACCTTTTTCCTGGAACTTCACCTTGCAACATAAACTAATCTAAAAATGAACAGAGTAAGGACAGGCAGGTAGCATGAGACTACTCTAGGCCTCCCCATTCTTCCCTAAATTTATGGTAAAATGCAGAGAAATGAGGGAAGAATTCCTCAGGAGGCTGGAGTCAGAAAATCAGAGTAGGTATCAAGAGTTATTTTTATACTAACAAAGGCCTGAAGATGAGGGAAGTGGAACAGAAATTTCATCCACTCCTAAAGTAAAATAAAACCCCAAATATCTGCCCCGTGCAGCCACTGCCCTGGCTGTCACTGGAGGTGACATGAACCTGAGCCAATGCAAGAACCTCACAGAGACTTCACCTGAATGGTCACCTGAGCCCTGGCAAGTGGCCACTGAGATTTCACAGGCACAGCACAGCAAAATTCTCCATCCCTGCCAAGCTGCTCAATACGGGTTTGGTTTTCTGGGGCCAGGGTTGTTTGCTTTGGGGGCTTGGGGTTTTTGTTTGTTTTGTGGTTTTCTGGGTTTTGTGTTTGTTTGGGTTTTTTTTAATAATTAAAAAAGGAGTAATTTTTAATATACCACTGAATGTAATTCCTGGCTGGCCCCATGTCCCTCAAGGAAGTTCATCCTTGTCCAGGGAACAAACCCCTCCTTATCAGCTCTGTGGCATTAATGAAATTGTTCAGCCAATTCTACTTGCTAACAGAACTGGCATTCCTGACAACATGAAACTCTGAACAGGGAAACTCTGAGATACCAACAGAAAAAAAGATTAAAAATCAGGAGAGAGAAAGGAGAGGAAAAAAGAAAACTAATTTCCAGTGACAGTCTAGTCTTTCATCTTAAGCCCTGCCTTGAACTCTACCTTGTTTAATTATTAAATCAGAAGCTGCTCGGCAAGATCTGTCTAGTTTTGATGGTTCTTAAATTCAATCTTGCTGACAGACTGTGTCCATTTTTCTCTGTATTTACTGTTACCTATGACATGATCTGAATGTTAATTTTTAAATTCAACATTCATTAATAAAGGAATAAATTTTGTTTGACATTGTCTTTTCACTCATTCAACTTTCCTTGTACTTCATCCTGATGAAAAGTACAGGATGCTTTTTTGAGGTTACTCGTTAATTTTTTTGCTTTTTGCATCATTTATATAACAGGCACAAAATCCAGATTACACCTAATTACATGCTTAAAATTAATCTAGAAAAGAAATGCAATAAATTAGAATAATAAATACTTATTTTAAAATCCTTTTAATATCATCTTTCATCTAACAGAAACATTTGCTTCTGTTACTCACCCACCTCCTCTTTAATATCCTAATTAAGATATTAAAGAGGAGGTGGGTGAGTAAAAAATCATGTTTCTATGAAAACAGATGTAATATATAAATGGTATACAAACCTGCAAAGACAGAAGTTCTAATATCTTGAATCAAATATTTGCAATTAAGGACTGATTCTAAGATATCAATGTAACATTGATTGAAGGGCTTTACCTTGCTTACTTTTATCTGGGGAATAAAATCCTTGGTTGGACTGGCTGCCAGGACAGTGCTCTCTCCCAGGAGAGAACACCTGCACTGCACTACTGAAAGTAAGGATGGAGGTGCATGAATAACAAACTCATGGAATGGTTTGGGTTGAGAGGGACCTTAAAAACCATCTGATTCCAGCCCTGCCATGGGCAGGGACACCTTCCACCATCCCAGGTTGCTCCAAGCCCTGTCCAACCTGGCTTTGGGCACATCTGAACACAGACACATGGATTTAACACTTTAGGAGACACTTGCTGTGGTGAGAGGTTTACAACCAAACCTACAGTTGACTGTGTCTGCTGCAAATACTCCTGCTCCATCTTGGCCAGCCGCGCGTTGGTCTCCTCCAGCAGCTCCTGCATATCCTCCGTGTGCTTCTTCCGGATGTTGAACTTCTCCTTCTCCATCTCAGCCACCGCATCGTGAAGCTGCACCAGAAACAAAAAGGCACAAAGTAACAAATGGCATCTGCAACTAGCATTGAGAAGTGTTCAATTATTATAGCATATCAGCAGAATCAGTGAAAAGCCCCGGTAGTCACACTTCTGTCCTCCCTGAAAATATTGTTTCTCTAAAACAAAAAAAGATTGTGGTTGCCCCATCCCTGGAAGTGTTCAAGGCCAGACTGGACAGGGCTTGGAGCAACCTGGTCCAGTGGAAGGTGTCCCTGCCCATGGCAGGGGGTAGCACTGGATGAGCTTTAAGGTCCCTTACAACCCAAATCAGTCTGGGATTCTATGAAAAAAAACCCAAACAAAAAAACGCCCAACACTGGAGCCTCAAGATCTTAATCACAAAGGACAATTTATGATTTATGATTATGATCATAATCATAATAATTTGACTTTAAGAAGGTAAGAATTAAATCCAACTTTATTTCTACATGCAGGGCTGCAAAAAAATTAAATTGTACAGCAAAGTTCATGAAGGGAGGTGGGTTTATCCTTTCTGTGACCCTCCTTCTCCTGAGAGGGGGAAGCAAGACAAATACTGACAATAATCTGGACAAAGCTGACACTGTCTCACAATAAACATGCTCTTCCCTTTGCTTTGCTGCTGTCTTGAGTTGAACAATAAATAAAAATACACTGAAGAATTCATGACCCATTGCAAGACTAAGAGTTCAAAGGAATCACCGTGACAGCAGGTAGCAGCAGGTTTATCCATATTAAAATTCCATGTCAGGTCAACCAGAAATAAACACTTCCCTAATACATCCAGAGACTTGCCAGGAGGCCAGATGAACCCCAGGAACAGGGTGAGCAGCTGGGTGTAAAAGCATCAGCAAAAAGAGTCATGATTACTTCAGGAAAAAATAAAATCAGCACGAAAAACACCCCTAAAACATATTCTGTATATTTATTTTTTGAGTGACAGAATGTATTATCCCAGATAAACACTGCAAGAGTCTGTCAAAGGAGGGAAGTATTGTTCATTACCCTTTTCTCCCACTCATTGTTCAAGCAATCATTGCTTTGCTCACACATCTTCTTCAACTCCACAATCTGCTGCTCTTTGGCTTCTCTCACAACTTGGGACTCACGAACAAGGGTCTGAACTGTTAAAAATGGAAAAAAATAAACAACCATTCAAGACCTTTGGGATTGTTCAGTGTTGTCAGTAGATAAAATCAGTTTATGTCAGTTTTTCCAGCTGACCTGGCTTTCTGATGGTTTTTGGCTCTTAAATACTTAATGAATGTGCTGCTTTAAGATGCAGCACTTAAATTCTGTGTCATTACAAGGTGTTCTCTCTTTTCTACTTTGTTTACAGAATATTTCAGAGTTTTCCTTCCTGAAGGAGTAAATATACATCAGCAAAACTCTGTATAACCTCAAGAAAACAGTTATTTTCACCTAATTTTATAAGCATACTTAGGAGAAAAGGTTCTTGTGAAGGTTGAATGCCCAAGACATACATGAAAATGTAGTTCCCCTACTTGAATGGCAAGTGATGGCATCACCATTAGTGGAAAAAGCAGGTCCATATTCACACTTCCACTTTTCTTGAGGATCTTCATTACCTGGAACAGTGTGGGGAACTCCAACTCTACCTATTCCAGCCAAGAGCAACCACCAGCCCACAGAGAGAAGCCCCAGATCCCTTGTTGGACAAATTACTTTCCCAAGGAGCAGGAAACAAAATACACAGAACACTCTTCCTTTTTGTCCATAGATTAACAAACTCCTGTATTATTTTTCAGTGCGGTTTAGTCCATAGTGTGAATGGACTCCAAGGAATTCTGAAAGAAATTAACATTGAAAAACTGCTGACAAGCCACTCTGAGGGTGAGTTTTGTACTCGTGACACACTCGAGAGTACTCATGTTTGAAATCTCTGGCCGCAATAGTCTTAAAAATAACCCGCTGTGGTTTGATTAAAATGTACTGAATGTATAAAAAAATGAACTTTGAGCCAGAGATTCAAAAAAAAAAAAAAAAAAATGGAAAGAAGTGGCCAAAATATTTCAGTGGCATCAAAGAAACTTTTTTTGGTGACGCTCATAAAACCTATGTTCATTGTAATAGATCACAGACCTCTTGGAACACTTGGGTTGGAACAGCAGAGACAATTGGACAAGAATCTCAGAATCTAAAACAAAAAATTAAATCAAGAGCTGCAAATGATGAAGAAAGGGATGTCTGCAGAAGGAACATGCAAGCCCACAGCCACAAGAGAATGCAGTACAATACCACCACACAAAAGACAATAATGAGGATAAAAATCACCTTTTTTCTCCAGTTTTCTTATTGTATCCTCAGACTCTTTTTGTTTCTTTAGGTAGGTGGACTTCAGCACATCTATTTCATCATTCTTTCTATCCAAAATCTGCAGAGAAAATCAGAATATTTTAACGTAAGTGCAAAACATTCCAAACTACAACCAGTGCACAAGATACCTGATCTGCAAGAAGTCCTCAGGTCATGCAGGATTAAGTGATTGAACCTAAATCATTTTTCCAGCTACAACTGCCAAGCTATAAACAAAGAACTAGTTTAGACAAATGTAGGAAAAAGCAGATTAAAAAAGGAGTTTCATGTTTTAAGGTGAGTTTTTTTGCTTTCCTTTAAACTTGGGCAAACGCAGCGCTGCTTTTGTTGAGTTTGGAAGTTTCATGGTGCTATTGCTGCAAATAGAAAAGATTTCCATACTTATGTTGTCTAATAGTATTTAAAAGCATCTAAAATTCTCTGCAGATTTCAGAAATATTTAAATAAGTTGGTGAACTTCATTACAGTCTTTTGTGCTTCACCAATTGAAATTCCTCACATGGATCCTAAGGAACAATGGACTGGAACAGAGCAAGTATAGGAAGGTAACTACACCCACGTTTCTGTACGGGCTGAGTTTGGAAATAAAAAAGCTTGAATATTTGCACACTTTGAGATAGTATTTTAATTTAAACTTTGTGTTTAAGATAAAGATTAAAGTTGCAGAAATTTTATAACAGTGCCCCAAATCTCTTATCAAACAGAAGCTTTAATCTTAAAACAACATTACTCCATCTGCAATAAACGTTTTTTGTCTTTAAAGATTAATACGACACTATTTAACCTTTACTAAAATATCCAACGTTATTAAACGACTTCAAAAGACGGACTTCTAACATCAATTAGGAAGGGATGACAACTCAAGGGATGAGAAAACATTTAAACTATTTCTTCTTCTCACAAAGCTGTTTCCTTTAGACTCTCAGCTTTGCTCACTGCTTCTGCTCCAAGGCCTTGAGAACAGATGAGCCAAATACGCACCTGACCAAATATTAACATCCTCTCAGGAGGCTTTGATGTGTCACAGAGTTGTGTCAACCAACTTCCCCCAAGCCTGTGACTCAGAATTAGGAAACAAAGCAGAGGCACTGAGTGATGCTGAGCTTACAGAGGGATCGGCGCCGCCGGCACCGGGATTCCCGCTCCGTCCCTGGGATCAGGCCCTGCCAGGGGCACCTGCATCGCCCAGGACTTCACCCCACCTCTAAAACGTGGGATTGAAAGGAACAGTCTGCTCTGGGGCGGGTGTAATCACCCAGGAGGGGTGTTACCTGATACAGTAAAGACAAACCCAGAGAGCAGGAGCCATTCAGTGCCGCAAGAATTCAGACTGCATAAACTTTAAAAATGCAGTAACATAAATCAAGGGGTGATTGGTGACCTGCCTCTGCTCTAAGACAGTGTCAAAACAGAGACAGGACAGCAAGCACTGCTGCTGGATGAGCCTGGATACATAGGATATATCTGTTGGGTTTTCCTACTGTTATATTTTGCACTGCTGCTGGATGAGCCTGGATACATAGGATATATCTGTTGGGTTTTCCTACTGTTATATTTTGCATTTTGTCCATGAAAAATTAATTTTGTTCACATTCTTCTCTAACACAATGTTTTCTTTCTAACAGAAAAATCATGAGTATATGATTTCCCACAGAAGCTGTTATGCTGGTAAAATAGGTTGTCTTGTTCTAACAAACAAATTGCCTTGTATTTTCATCTCCTTTCTGCAAGTGCTTTCCCTTTCCTAAGAAAAATATTCTGCATTCCTCTCAGTTTATGCCAACTGTTACCTACAATTTGACTTCCACTGAACATTAATTGCAATTGTGAAGAAGCTAAAGAACAACTGATAAATATTTATGATAATCGTAGTCTCTATTATTGTTTAATACACTGCTTTTGGAAAAAGTACAAACACTTTTTACCTTTTGAACATCAGCATCGTGCTTCTGTTGTAACTTCAGTTTTTCTTCATGAAATTTACCTTCTGCTATTTTCATTTTCATTTTCAGCTTTAAAAGCAAAACAGAATAGATACATAATTTAAATAAAGAATAAATTACACCAATGACCTTTTCATAACTTTTAAATTATTCATTTGTCTTTCACAAGGCAATGGGAAGTCACCAACAAAAAAATTTTGGGAAAAAAATCTATATTCAGTTTCTAAATATTTTAATATTTATTCAATACAATTGTTACCAAAGATGTCATCCTACAACATTCCTTCAGAAAAATGGATTTGTAGGATGTTTTAGTTGGCAATAAACACAACTGCTACTGCCCAGAACAAGTTATCATCCTTAATTTAAATAAACACTTAGGAATAAAACTTTAATATTTCTGTTAATATACCAAGTTTGGTAAACTCATTTTAATTTCTTCAGGCAGGTGTTACATTTATACAATGAATGTCCTTTAGCCCAGATGTACGTTTGTTTTTGTTTGTTTTCTATTATTCCTGGAGTTCACATTATAAACACATTTCCTTTTAAAGGTGACTTATGATGGGATTAAGGATTGGATCACTGAAATACATTTCCTGTTCTGCCTGTGTTTGTTCAAAGCTGTACTTGAACCCCTCCAACACAAAAATACATTGCCAACTCTTTGACTCAGAGTCTAAGTTTCCATCTTTCAAGTATTTTTGACTCTCTTGCATGTTTTGAGCACGCCGTTAAAGGCAGTCTTCGGGACAGCTATGAGAGGAATTCCATGTTTCTCAGGCTTCTCTAGAAACCAAAAGTGACACCTTGAGTTCAGACTCAGGCTGTTCCACCCCTACATTTATTAAGTCACTGTTCAGAAAGCAAAGTGGACTGGAAAGCTTTTTCAGAGGACAGACCCTGACCCCCCTCACTTTAGAAAGGGAGCACCAAACCCCCTCCAGGAGATGACTCCAAGTGGTCTTTGGCCAACAGAAAACTTTGTCTTTGACTTTTGGGTGTTCTGAAAGGTGCTGAGGTCCCCTCACCTCAAGGCTGAACACTGCATGCCCATCACCATCCAGACACTTCCAGCTCTCACATTTTTATTCAGCTCAACTCAGAAACTGACTTTTAATATTCCAACTCACAAACTCCACAGGAACTACAGCATTATTCATTCTGCCTTTATTTTCCATGCCCTTGACTAATCAAAAATTGCCATTCAAGCATGAGTCTTTATCTCATACAGACCAACACTAAACACAGTACAAATGATTCATTTTTTATATGACTCATTTGTCTTACAGGTTTGTTGGGACTTGAAAATATCACAACATTATCGTGACTCAAAAACGTGAGCTCCAAAAACCCAACTCAACTCAAAAATGCTGTGCAGGAAAAACAGAAGGCTCCTCAAGATAGAAAAGAGAAGGAAGAGCAGAAAATTGCTTCATTTTCTGAATTCATCAACTGATGCCAAACAACCACTTATTACACCACAGATAAAGAAATCCATCTCCCAACTGTTAGCACACAGACTTATGCAAATTAATGGAGGAGGAAAAAAAATTAGGTTGACAATTAATCCAAAGAAAATAAATCATATTCCCAGCTGTCAGCCAAATCTTTTATATTCCCAAAATAAGCATTATGATAAAAGTGCATCTTATATCCATGAAATCTACACATATGTATATATGAAAAGAAATATATGCAAATATCACTGCAACAAAGTGACATTTCAGAAGAAAATCTTAGAACCAGGTGATGAATAAGAGTTGATTTAATAAAAAGAGCACAGTAATAATCCACTTCCAGATAGACAGCTTGGGAACATGCCATAAATAAATATGAAGGTCTTGTAAAAACACAAATACCAGAAACTAAATATGAAAGAGACTCCAATCTACTTGAATTACATTAAAAGCTTATGAATGACTGAGGAACAGCTACTGCCCTCACACAGCTACTAAATCCACACAAATTACATTTAAAACTCATTAATAATGTCAGAATGTCTTGGCTGATGGAAATGAATCCTTGGTTGTTTGTATCAGCTGAGAGCTAGTCTAGGTTTTATTATTCCGTACACTGAAACAATACAAAAATAAATCAAAATTGAGAATTTCACTCAGATTAAAGATGGACATATAGCTTTTCAAATGCTGATTGTTCTCAGCCACAGGATGTTTTCCCCCAGGCTGACAACAGAACTCCCTGTACTTGAGGCTGGTTCCCACTTCTCATTAATCTTCCCCTTAGCACCACCCTTGCACTTGCACCAGTTCCCATCAATTTTAGCTCATTAATTCATTACACCCCTTCCACCAGAACAGCCATCTCTTAAAATGGCACAGTTCTGGGACAGCTTTCCAAAAAGGAGAGCTAATTGCAACCAAACAACTGGGAAAATGTGTCCAAGATACAGAAATCAGCTCTTAATGAATGCAACCACTGTAATAAGAAAGTAGGTCAATTTTCCACTGAATATTAAAAATAAAATAATAAAAAATAGGTGAAAAATCACAAAGTCCTGCTCACATCAGGTGAGGGCTAAAAAGGGGACACCTTGAAAAGTACTCAAGCTCCTCAACTTCTATAAACTTAATGAAGTTTCAGCACTTTTCTGCCCCATGTGCTTCATCCACAACTTTCCCAATTTTTAGGAATCATTGCTTTGCTCACACATCTTCAGCTCCACAATCTGAGATAAAATTTTCTTATTTTATCTCTACATATAAAGAAATGAGAGAAGTCCCATATTAAAATTGTCTGAAATTCAACAGTTGATGTGCACATGAAGTTCTCAGCTCGTGTTGAGAGGAAAGCTGTATTTGTACTGAGTAAATGGTAAAAAATCCCCAATATTTAAAAACTTCCAACAGCATTTAAACTTAGTAATAGTCCATAGTTCCAACCCCACATGTATCTTCACCATAACTTCTCGATGTGTTAATTTCAGTATTTTTTGTAAAAATAATGATATATTGGTTTAAAAATCCAACACTCAATTTCTTGAGCGGAAAACTGCTGGAGAAGCCAGCAAAGATGAGGACAACACCACAGTGTCCTATAGCAAAGCCTGGAGGACTGGTTTCATTTCCAAATCTGCTTTTTGACCCACCCTCCCTCTGAGGCAGACTCCTAAACTCACCGCATACATCGATAAAAATTGAGTCATGTAAACACATTGTGTGCAGTGATCTCATGAAGGCTGGGGTGGAAGCAAAAGGGCTCAGCTCTCCCCAGCTGGGAGTGAAATGCCCCCCCTTCCATTTGAAAGCTGAAACACATCATTAAATACTAATTTCAATCAAGGAATATCTTTCAAATTAAAACCACGCCAAACTGAGGTGGAGCCTGTCTGCAGATCCCAAATGTCAAATCTCAGCTTGTCCCAATTTCCTGTGGAACAGCTCTAGGTAACTGCATGTGCTGCTCTTCCATGCACTGCCCTCTGCACTTCAGCTTGACTTTATTTATTAAACACATATTAAGAAACAAAATAACCTACAGCAGTACTAAAGAGCTTCACAAGTTTTAGAGAAACCAGATAAAACCAACTTTTCTAAGTCGTACACTTTGTTAAACGCAATTTATGGTGCTCGCGCTCGTTGGTTTTAATATCTTTTATCACTAGTTAGGAGGCAGCAGAGAATATGAAATTTATGGCATGTTACCATTCAGATAAGAAAAAAAAAGTGTAGATATTTAGCTATAGTTGGGAAGTTTGCAACTATGTATGAAACGCAGCCATTGCTGTTGGCTGAACATCATTCCTTTGGATTTCTGTCATTGTTTATCCTCCTCACAAAGAGAATGAGGCAATTAAACCCTAAGGCCATGTAAACAATACTGATGTCAAACATCTGTGCTGTCCCTGTTATTTAAAGCCATGAAGGGTGGTAGCAACAGAGCTGCTTTTATGTGCCTAGTCACACTTTCTTCCTCATTTAAAAAAACAAAACACCGCCAAAAACAGAAAATAGTTACCTGAAAATCAATGTTACCTGAAAATGTTACCTGAAAATGGGGCTTTGGGATTTCACTGTCCTGATCCCATAGCACAACTCAGGTGCTAGGAACATATAATAACTGTCAGGCTTAAACTGACCCAGTTTCATCTGCAAATGTCATAAATCTCCAGGGGAGGGGGGAAAAGTGATCTCGCCTTTTTTCATGGCAGAGCACAAACATTCATCTTGTCCCCATTTACAGAAATTTGTCGAAATATTGAAATACCTGATTTAAAAGCAAATCAATAAGTGGGTTAGCAACATGAATCACTGAACTCCTGCCCACTTGTCTTCATTCCAAGGCTCACCCTCAGGCCAGGGGGGACATCTCAGAGCTTTTACATCCATCAAATTGGGGGTTTTGGCTATTTGACAAAACAGAACTTGTTGCTTGCCAGGTTTGTTTTTTTTTTTTTCCAAGCCTATGAATATATGGGGGAGGGAGGGAGGAAGCGAGGAAGGGGGAGAAGGATGTAAACAATAAATGAGAACTTCAAAGTAAGAACTAACAATGCAGAACAATGACTTGTGTATCTTACAGTACATGACAAAAGTTATTTGTCTTGGTGTTCTGCAGCTGCTAAAAGGAATCAGTGCACAGCACACAAAGCTTTGATATTTCCACAGAAGAAAAAGGTTTCTTAAAAAATATCAACAAATAAGTCAAACTTTCTACCAAATTGTGCTTATTCAATTTTCACATGCAGGGTTAAAATAATAAATATTGATAATTTATACAGTGTTTTAAACCATACGGGAAGGCCAAGACAGAAGAGACTGGACTTACAAAACAGTCAAGATTTATTATAAATACACACTGACTTCAGACTAAGGTAATTTGGAACAGTGTATTTCACTTGATCATTAACAATATGTCTGATCTGATTGTGTCATTTCTGTATCAAAAATTTTTAAGATTAGCTTTGAGGTATATTAATACTTTCCACATTTTACAAAAAATACTCTGAGTATTTAAAAGAAAATCACTGGTGTGCAAAGCAGGAAAAAATTATATTTCATGACAATATATTTGAAGAGAAGTTTCTACAGTAAATGTAAATTTTTAAT